AAAAAAAAAAAAAGAAAAAGGTCCTAGTGGGATTGGATGTTTAGCTGCTTTGCACTTGCGCCTATACGATGGGTTCATGATGCACGCAAAGGCAGACAGGCAGGCTTCTCCCAGGGACAGTCACTAGCACGCACGCACGCACGCACGCACCGCACCGCATCTGCCGATCACGAAGACGTCTGAGCATCGCGTAGCCGAGACCCGATGCAGGTCGAAGGATGACCTGACAGGGGCGAATGGAAAGGAAGGGAGCGTATATAGCGTGCGAACGAAAGTCGAGCGGGTGCGAGGGAGGTGTTGGACCGCATGAAAGACGTGGTGGTGGACGTATAATGGAGTGGGCAGGCATGCAGTCACAGTGTCCGTCTGGACTTGGTTCGCCGCACAGCGTCTGGATCGGGTGATAGTGCAGCAGCGCCGGTGGGGAGAAAGTGAGGAGTCAGATGTACAGTGCGAGTATCATCTTCTCAGCTGCTGTGCTGCAACTCACACACACTCTGACTCGTGACTCACGACTGTTGCACATCGCTGCAAGCGGAGCTTGCCAATCTGGTGGATCACAACAGCCGCGGATATTCACGCACGACGCTCAGACAGACGTACGCGGTACGGTACTCGAGTGCTGCGTGGATCGCATATATACGCCCAGTCAACAATTTGAATTAAGGAGCAGCGTGCGTGCGTGCGTGCGTGCGTGCGTGCAGGCTGATTGATGCGCGGGCGATTAATTGCAGCACGGCAGCGCATGCAGCGCAGCGCAGCGCCTTGCTTACATCTGACCGAACAAACAGCCCGGCGCTGGATGTATGGAGTAGCGGTGCGCAAAGCAAGGCCGCTTAATTGCTTTCCTTTCCATCTCTTATCTCCTTTGGCCATAGTCTCACACTCGTGACTGTAGCTTTTGCTGCTTGCCTGCTTGCTGCTTGCTGTCACGCGCGCTATAGCAGTATACTCGATAGGATCTCCAAGCCTGCGCCCAGTCTTCTACCACCTACACCACTGACAGTAGTGAGTATCTATACCGCGAACTCCCACATCTTACACTAATCCTCACTTGCATGTTCAGCTCGGCACCGAGAACCAAGCGTTGGGGACAGCGGCCGACGAGGATGCGAAAGCAACACTCGCTAGCGCCGTCATGAATGTCGAGCCGAGCATACACACTGTGACTCTACCCATGCACAAGTGTCCCCTCTATATCTCCACTTTTCACGATTCGTGATGGATGCTTCATGAAAGCCATGCAATGCAGCACGACGACGCGGCCCAACATTTCATGGCATCCACGCATCACCCCAGCTAATTCTTGATTTAGCTTGGGAAAGTTGTGCATGGGGCAATTGTGCTATCAAAAGTCCGCTTGCCGAACGCACTCCTCGACACTTGACTGGCTGCGCAACAGCCGCGATAGCCGTGAGAGGCGAGGCGAGGCGCCACTCGCACGCTGCTCTCCACCACTGCACGCTCACGGCAAGGCGCAGCACAGCCAGCACCCTTCAATCCGACTTGCAGCGACGATGGTTGTCGTGCAGCGCGCAGTCACGAGTATAGAAGCGATGGATTGGGCGCC